CCAGCGAGTGCGGGGTCCCCCCCCCACTGTCACCGCCTCTGGCGGGGCGGGGGGTGCTTCCCCCCAGCAGACCAGGGAGACGCAGAGCGGCGGGACCGTGGCGCGTCTCGGCGGTCCCGCCGCCCGCGTCTCCCTGGTCTGCTGGGGGGGCGCAGCTAGTGCACCCCCCTCCCAGCAGACCAGGCTTTTCTCGCCGCGGACCAGGTGAGAAAAGACACTCCGCGTCTCCCTAATCTGCTGGGGGGGGCGCACTAGCTGCGCCCCCCCAGCAGACCAGGGAGACGCGGAGCAGCTTTTCTCGCCGCGGAGGACACGGGCAGTGGGACCGCGGTGCGTCTGGGCGGTCCCGCCGCCCGCGTCCTCCAGGGTGAGAAAAGCCCCGTTCGTATGTAGGGATCCGACATAAGTCGGATCCACGTAACTCGGGGACTCCCTGTACTAGAGCCTGGGTATACCACGTCCACTGCTTCCCCCTTTTCCACAAGACTTGATATCCTATCAAAGAAAGCTATCAGATTGGTTTGACGGGATTTGTTCTTTACAAATCCATGCTGTTACCTATCACCTTATTATCTTCCAGGTGTTTACAGATTAATTCCTTAATTGCCTGCTCCATTATCTTTCCTGGCACAGACATTAAGCTGAAACAAAAGACAGGACTATGCAGCACTTTTTTGTCTTTTGTTTCAGCAAGACCAGACTAACACCGCTACATCTCTATTACTATTAGACATTAAGCTGTGATCTGTTTCCTCATTCACCTTCAACAAAGCCTCCCAAACGGAACAGGAAGAAACCGTTCCAGCCTTGCACTGGCCATTTACAAGCTCTCCTGTCACTCTCGTGATGAGAGTTACAGCCTCGTAACATGTGGGAGATGCCTGCACTTCCTTCTTCTGTAGCCCTTGGATTTATAGAGAGAAAATGACAAGGAATTTAAAAAGAACCCAAGTGATAAATATTTTATTGGTAGGCTTGGCAGGATTCAACGTGTATGCCAACCAATAATATCAGTGTGTCATTTTTATCAATGCAAATCTTCAGAGTTGTGCCAAATTATGGGTTTTAAGCATCCCCCCATCTTGAGATATTTCAATTTTCACAGTTTCAGGGATTAATGGGGATAAGGGACAGACAATGACTGAATGACAGCAAATGCTGAGACAAACACAAGTTGTCAACACCACACACTAAAGATACACAGAGCAAGAATAAGGGATGTTAAATATTGGTTAATTGGATAGTTGAGTAACCTCATGAATTCTTATCTGTTACTCGACTATTCTATAGTCCCCGGGGGCGGGGCCAGCAGCCAGTGGGCTCCGGCTTCACTCCGTGCTGCTGCCTCTGTATCCGAGGCAGCAGTGCAGGGTGCCAAGTGGGAGCTGGCTCAAGAGGGGAGACAGCTTAAAAACCAGCTCCCCTCACAGACCGGCTGCCTGTCACCCCGTGCTGCAGCCATGGACAAAAAGGCAGCAGTGCGGAGTGGCAGCAGCCCCTGTCTAGGGCAGTTTGAGCTCCTGGACTCAGCACAAGCCTGAACTGAGCCAGGCTGCCTGCCTGCCCGGCTCCTAATACACTTTAAATGCAGAGCTGCAGCAGGGGTAGATCCCGGACCCATTGCAAGCCAGGACTGAGCCAGGCTGCTGGCCAGCCTGCTAAGAAAGTTTACTAGCCAGGCAGGGCCGGATTAAGCCCTTTAGAGGCCCTAAGCACTGAAAAGATTATGGTGCCTCCCCATATGTAATTCAAAATAAAAACAATACTATACCGTAACAATCTCTCTCTCTCTCTTTTTTTTTTTTTTTGGTGCTCCTGCTTTGCTGGTGCCCTAAACACATGCTTAGTCTGCCTATTGGATAATCCAGCCCTGTCAGGGGCAGGGCAGCAGGGGGAGGGGGAGAGGAGAGAGAGGGAAGGGAAATGTGCATACTATAGCATTAACCTATCAGTTTTTGCTTATCAGTTAATTGACTACACTGTTAAGTATCTGAGGAAGTGGGTTTTTCCCACGGAAGCTCATGATCCAATAGATTTGTTAGTCTCTCAGGTGCCGCAGAACGGCTGGTTGCATGGTAAATATGATTAAGGTAAAATTCTCCCCAGAAGCATTTTTCTCACTTTGCCTAGCTGTCCATTTCAAATATTCTTGATGGAAATATTTTGTCCTCCTTGGGTTCGGTGAAATCAACAGCTATTGACATTTGCCAAGGCAAATCTAACCCTCCCAGCTACCTACTGGGCAGCTTTTGGAATGCCAAGAATTTGAACATGGGAAGTACTATTGTCTGGAAGCTGCAATGTTTCAGGTGGGGAGAGCTCTTTCAATCAATGCTAGTGGCGAAATTCTGACCCTGTTAAAGTCAATAGCAAAATTCCCCATAACACCCATTTTTGAAGTGGGGCCGCTTCACAAATTTCTGAAGTGGTTGTGGGCTACTCCGGAAGGGGTGGGCCTCGGGCAAAAGGGTTGGGCCCGGAATCTTACCATGCTCCCCCATCCACAGACCCTGATCGGCTGGGACAGGGGGATCCTGTGAAGTCTTTACCCTCCCATCCCCCAACACCTAGACCTAGAGACAACCACCAGCTCCCCCGTCCCCAGGTCTTGATTGGCCTGAGGGCAGGGGAGTGGCAGGGCAGCTGCAGGCTGGATCATCCAGCTTGACGTGCTGGATGT